ATGGCTGCAAGAGGTAACACATATATAATTTCTTTACTTTACAATTATTCAACTTTTTTTTTTTTTTTTTTGTGCATATTCTTTATTTAATGTCAGTAACTTTTTTCTTTCTTTTTTTTTTTCTTACTATTTTTCATGTACATTTGTGAAAAATATTTTTGAAGTGTAAAAAGAAAAAAATAACGATAGAAAATAAATTTTAAGATTTTTGTCATAAATAATAGTCCAATTTCTCCAAAACCTTTGTTTTACTTCTTTTAGGCCAAGGAGGTACATTGGCTGCTACAACTGAATCTTTGGATGATGGTGGGGTTGATGGTTGGGGAGAAGATGCTGAACTTGTCCTTGATGATGGTAAGCTTTTACTTTCTGACTGAGGTGTATATACTAAGGCTTTTTTTTTTTTTCTTTTTTTTTTTTCTTTTTTTTTTTTTTCTTTTCTTTTCTAACTATTCACATTTTCAGAAGAATCTGACAAGAGTAACTTTTTTAATTCCCAAATATTTGATCTCCTGAAGAACAAAGCAAAGTATAATGGTTAATATGACAGAACATTAAGATTTTTGCTCAATTAATACTAATGAAAAACTTCTTTTCAATACTGTCACTTTTTCAATGAATATCTTTATACTTCTTATTTTGTGTAATTTATGAAAAATGGATTGTCTCTTTGTAACTTTCTCATTTACTCAACTTTATCAACAAAACTCTTCAGACTAATATTAATCTAAAGCCAACACAAGAAGTAAATTCTATTATTTTTTTAAAATTTGTCATTTCTCTATCTTTTTTCTTCTATAGACTATGGTCCCACTGAAGGTGGTCTTGATGAAGAGATTGGGCGAGAAGAAGGTGGTGGTTGGGATGTTGAAGAAGATCTGGAATTACCAGCAGATTTGGTAAGAATTTTGATTTGCGAGATAATCTTGTATTTCTAGTCTTCCTAATCTCTTAAACTAACATTCAAAACTCAACATGGAAAGAAATTTGTTAGTGCATTTACAAGATGCTGAAACTGTTTCAGCTCAACCAAAAGCTCTAAGAAAAAGAAAAAAAAAAATGACATATTTTACAAAATGGTTCGATGGAACTTTTTAACTCCTTGTATTGTAATGATAAGCAGATAGATGAAGTCCCTAAAGAACTTCATTAGGAATTTATTAAATCCAAACTGTTTACCTTACATTCTCCTAAAATATTTCATGTATATTTAATCTAGATGACAGTGAACAAATTACAAACTATCATTCTCCAATGTATTTTCTAATTTACATAACTGAAAACTTTTTTTTTTTTTTTTTAAATATTAAAATATTTTCAGCCTGACCCAGTTCCCAAAAGCTGACCAAATTATGGCTTATGGCCATATCACATTTAAACATTGCATAACTTTGGTGATCATATGGCAACTAATGTCGTGCCTGGTCAGCACCTAGATGGTTGACAGCTTAGAAATACGAGGGGAGGGTTTGTTTGTTTTTTGGGGTTTCTTTTTTTTTTTTTTTTTTTTTTTTTTTTTATAGTGAAAGACTTTCATAGGATATAAAAACTTTCCCAATAAGTAGTAATTACTTACCTGTAATTTCAAGCCGTGTTCGCTGTGAGCATGTAACCTTCCACATGTTGTACCTAAGAGGGGAAAAGACAAGCATTCATTTTTTTTTTCTGCTTTTGTCTCATTGTGGCTGAGAGGGAAGTGGCGTAGATCATTTCTCATTAGTGACTTTCTATTTCAAAATCTGCAGTTGTTTATGTGAGCTGTTCATTATTGTGTGCTTGGTGAGCATTTGCTTCAGGGTCACTTGGGTGAACAGGTATGCTGAAAGATCTGAAACTTGTTATGACCCCAATTCAATAACATCATAGATGAAGCAATTCTGCACACCTGTTGGGGTGTATCATAAGAAAACAAATGGATATTGAAAAATTTTCAGTCTGACCCAGTTCCCAAAACATGACCAAATTATGGCTTACAGCCACATCACATTGAAACATTGGTTCCCATATGATCACCAAAGTTAAGCAACATTGAGCCTGGATGGTTGACTGCTTGGGAATACCAGGTGTTGAAAGCTTGGATGTGCAAGCAGTGTAATGGATAATGGCTCAGTATTTTTTAATTAGAGAGCTGCATTCCAATTCCAGTTGAATATATTGTTACATGTAAATACACTTAGGACAAGTATAAATCCACCTCCCCCCAGTTCTGGATTAATTAGTAAGATTTGTATCACTAAAACCATTATTATCTCAAACAAAAAAAATGAAAAAATTGCGTAAAAAAAAAATATTCAGATTTCAGCATTAAATAACCCATAGAGGTTGATAAGCTGCTAAACAACCAATCATGACCAAGTCATATATACAGGGTTATTCAAAAAGAATGAACCGATTTCATTACGCAATATTTTAACAAAGAAAAGCAATAGAAAACTCCAGTCAAATCAAAAGTATTCTACTCACAATCAACTTTTCTTTCCTGTCTTACAAGTGTTCAATGTAGCCACCATCTGCAGGCACAGGCAACATCAATGTGATTAGAGAATTCTTCCCAGATGCATATCAGCATATCACAATCCACCAAGTTGATTGCTGTTGTTATTCAATGTTTAAGGTCATCGAGGTTAGTGGGTAGCAGTGGAACATAAATGTAATCTTTTATGTATCCCCGCAAGAAGAAAAAAATCACACATGGTGAGGTCTGGGGATCTCACAGGCCAAGAACAAAGAGCAAGGTCTTGGTAAGTGCCTGAACAAGGCATCTTTTTAGCACATGCCAGATAGTGGATTGAGAGGTTGCAAGCTCACGGCTAACTCGATTTGTGGACTCCCTTCAAACGCAGCATGGATTCTTGCCACTTGTTCCTCTAAAACACATGGTCATCCTGGACTTTTTCTCTACACTGACAGCCACTCTTTTGAAACTGTTTAAACCTCCGTTGAATATTCTTAGGAGATGGCAGATAAATCTAGAATTGTCTTTAAAAAGCACACTGCACCATGACAAGCATATTTGTTTGCACAAACTCAAGAACACAGAAGTCCTTTTGCTGAGGGCTTGCCATTCCAGGGGTAAGCAAACAACTAAACATTGCTGGAGATACAGCGCCCTTGTGGGAGCCATTCCAAACTTAGAAAACTCTTCTTTCAAATAGTCACTGACTCCTTCCATGACGATGTTTAAGAACTGTATGTATGTATGTATGTGTGTGTGTGTGATATATTCCGGTGTTCTTATAGATATTTTTATTTTTACAAAATAGTGCTCAATGTAAATTTACAGAGCATTAATATTATAAATTAATTGATTTAAGATTTGTTTTTTTTTTTTTTTTTGCTACACAGTTCTAACCATGTTTCAAAAATGGAAGCTAAAAGCTTTGAATTTAATTTTGTAATTAAATTAAAGACATTAGTTCCATTTCATCCTCAAGCGAATTTTGGAGTAACTTATTTTTAAATTTACTGGGTTTTAAAGGCACAGCAAAAATCATAATTCACGTTTCCAAGAATACAGAGAAATCTATTCAATCAGACAAGGGGTGTTTGAGTGTTCATTATCGCTGTATTTTGATGTATCAGTTATTAGTTATGTTTTGGTAGGGGTAGGGATGTATTTTTCAATGAATTCTGACATCCGTTAAATGCATGTTGTCTGGATTTTTTTTTAAATTTATTGTTAACGGCAAAAATTCTTACAGCATTTTTTTCTATTTGTATACTTAAAGATTTTTGGGGGGTGTTTAGGTTAGAATATGTTTTTTTTATTTAACTACGATTTTTAAAAAAAATTTCCTTTTTAATATACTATATTTCTTTTTAAAACAAGTGTGTGTGTGTATATATATATATATATATATATATATATATAAAAATGTGTGAGAGAGAGTTCTTGATCAGGTCAAGAATTTTTTAGCACCTTTCTTTCAAATGATTTTTCTTGAAGGCCTTGAGAGAGAAAAAAATTAAATTTTATTGCTCCAAAATATTTTTAAAGTGATTTTCTAATTTCTTTACACAGGACATTGGGCCTCTTCCAACTGGAGGTGGGGAAGAAGGTTTCTTTGTACCACCAACCAAAGGAACAAGTCAGTCTCAGGTAATTTTTTTTTTTTTTTTTTTTTTTCATAAAGATTTCAAATTGACATTTAAAAAGAAATTCCCCAATATCTATGTATTTAGTTTTTTTTCCTATTTAGTTTACATTTCATGTTTTTTGCCAAGCTTGGGTTTGTTTTGAGTTTGAATTAAAATACTTTCCATTTACGAATATCTGTTAAAAAAATGTGTTTCTGTTCTCTGCAGGTTTGGTGTAACAATTCTCAGTTGGCTGTTGATCACATCCTGGCTGGTTCTTTTGAGACAGCAATGAGGGTGAGTGTTTTTGACAAAAATCTCAGTTTTCTCTTAGTGATCAAGTTATATAGATTCATAATTTAAACAGCAAAATAAAAAATAAACATTAGTGCAAAAATCTTTTATAAACTGCACAATTTTCTGTGTACCATTCTCTACCTTTTCTTAGTGAACAATTAATAAAGTATTTTAATTCATGTTAAATTCAAATTCATTTTTTGAAAGACTATCATGTTTGTCCTTCCATAAATTTCAGGTTAAAACAAGCCATAGATCACAAAATGACCTTCATAAAGTTGTCATTAATACTGTTTCATCATTTGATCACATTATCAATTCTGTTGTTGATAGAAATGATAATAATTGAGAATTTTAAGAAAATAAGTGTCCTGTTTCAATATAAGTTAATTTGATCATACCAGTCAAAAATTTGATTTATCTCCACAATTGTCACTCTTCCAATTATCAAATAAGTCCTTTTATTTGTATGATCATTTGCATAAGTGATTCTCCTTGTATTTTATTGATGTTCATTTATTTGTTGTATCCATTCAGCTTCTCCATGACCAAGTGGGTGTGGTGAACCTTCCTCCTTACAAAAACCTCTTCATGCAGACTTATGCCAGAGGCAGGACTTCCTATGTTGGATTGCCTTCTCTTCCTCCTCTCTTTGGATATCCTCAGCGTAATTGGTAAGGCTTTCCATTATTCTTTTTTTTTTTTTTATCCCTGTTAGCTAGGAATCTCTTTTTCATGTGGATTAATTTTATGCTCATCCAAGAAAGTGATTCACATGAATTGATAGAAATGAAAACAATCATTAACTCTTATTCTCAACTAAAATACTTTTTTATAATGATTAAAAAAAAGTACTGATTTTATATTGATTCTTTTTTTTTTTTAAGATCCCTGCTATTTAGTATCTTTACCAGAAATAAAAATATTTTTCTTTTACTATTTAATTGTAGATATGATGATGGATATTGCTTTTAATGAAAAAAAAAGAAATACTAATTTGCATTACTTCTAATAGTAATTGTGTAATATGGTTACCAGGATTTCTACTTTTTTAATCAACTTTTTGCAGCATCATTTTATATAATAGTTGATCTAACAAAATTTTATATCTATATTCATACTGTTTTTTTTTTTTTTTTTCATCATCAAAACAATACCAAAAGTTTCTGCATTAGCCTATTTGAGAATTTACATCATAATAGAATCGAAGAAAAGTGTGATTCTTAACATTTGATTGTGGAAGGAATTTTTTTTTTTATTATTCATTACCATGGTTGCACTGAATTAAATGGCTTTTTCAGTAAATGAAAAAAATTTAAAACATGTTCTTTTTTACTGAATCTTATAACAGTTGATATTTTATCAAGTGATTTCTTTAATGTTTTCCAACCAGGAAAGATGCCGGTGCACGTAATGGTGTTCCAATAGTTGGCCTCAAACTGAGCACTCTTGTACAACAGCTACAAATTGCATACCAACTGACAACAGGTGGGAAATTTAATGAAGCCATTGAACGTTTCCGGAACATTCTCTTGAGTGTGCCTTTATTAGTTGTTGACAATAAACAAGAAATTGCAGAAGTAAGTATCTCCTTCATGCATATAACTTTTTTTTCTTTTAATGTCAACTGGTATTAATAATTACTTGGTTTTCATAATAGCAGTTAAGATTTTTGTGAGTTGTTACCAAAATATTTAATACAGTGCTGAAGAATAAAATAGCTTTTTTTTTTTTTTTTTTTTTTTTCAGGTTTATTTTACCCTTCAAGATATTTTGTTTGGTTAACTGAAAAGTTTTTTTTTTTTTTTTTTAACTCGGATGTAAGAATTTTCATGTTAATTATGATAAATATACCAGTCTCTTCCTGAGAAAACTTTTATGCAGTGTTCATTTTTACATTAGTCAGTTCTTAAAAATTTTAATTGTGAATAATTCTTCTGATTACATTTTGTTTGTTGTTTGTTTTTTTTTTTTTTTTTTTTTTTAGCTAATTAAAAAAAAAAAAAATATAAATTTATTAAAGAAATTTTTTTTTTTTTTTTTTGCATTAAAGTCTGTTTATAGAACTCAAGTTTTTCTTAGGTTTTATTCAGCAAAGAACATGGCAGTACACATGACAGAAATTTATGTAGCCTCCCAATTAGAAACAATTCAGACTTCACGTGAGAAAATGGCAATGGGATGTGTAGTCTTGTTTATCATGATGCTAGTAATCACACTCTGCATAACTGGAAATGCCATTATGTAGAAGAAAGTATGAAAAATAATAAATTACTACACTTTCTCTTACTAAATGAATTTTATTAGCATATAACTAAAATTAAAAAAACTTCAGCATTGTCTCTGCTATATTTGACTTATTCTTTGTAATAATAAGCTCAAAGGTTAGGTGACTTGCATACAAGCTCGGATTGATATAATAGTTATCATAAGTAAGGATCAATGACTCACCCACAGAGTGAGGTTCTCATTTGGAGCTGTCCTTTTGAGGAACCATGTTAGATAAAATATAACCCATTTATTGAAAAAGAAGAGCTTGAAAAATTCATCCTTATTCTACAATACTTTGGTTGGAATCCTCATAACTGATATTGATATTAATTGATGCATTTGGATTGTAAATGTCCTGGTGGTTAAATATCAGAATAACACTGTTTTTTCCTTGGCATTACAAAGGCAAATGTGGGTATAAAGAGGATTTTCCCCAAGTTCTTCACTGAAAGCAGACAACTCTTTTGGTTATTCGAAATGAAGTCCAGGCGAATTGGCATAGGTGACTACAAGCTTCAAAAATAGTGTAAAGCTTACCTTGATCAAGTATCAGAATGTAACAATAGGCAAATTTCAAGGCAACTGTATTAAAGAATTGAGATTTTGCCATAGCATTCACCAGTTTGTCAATTCTAGTTTGAGGCTAAGCTTTTAACTCTGGGAACCATTTAGTCTGAGAGTAATTGACTACCATTCTTTGTGCCACTCATTAGTGGTCACTACAACTTGAGTTAACGAAAGGGAAATACTTGACTCATTGTTTCCCTTTTGCAAGTGTTCTCTTCAGCTTGGCTGCAATGTTTATCAAGCATCTTTGTTTTATTTTTATTTCTTTGTAGCCCAGTAGCTACTAAGTCAATCATGGGTAAGATTAACAAAATTTGAGAAAGAGAAAAGGTAGCCAATTCACACACATTTAATGGAGGATTTTTACCAACCAAAATTTACATAGATGAGCTGATGTTGCTTCATGAAATTCTGTCCAATGATAACATAATAAATTAGCCTCATATTCTGGTATTAATGTCCCCCCCCAGCTCTATATTCACCAAACAATGGCCAGAAGTCTTAGAGATCAATGAAGTTGATACCATATTAGAACTGTGGATATGTGTGCAAATTTAGCCACCAAACAAGATTGGATTAGGAAATTCCCTGCACTATCCATATTGTTTGGACCCTCTTCCTATTAAATTTAACCCAGGCAGTGGATAAAATTTCTGAGGTAGCTGTGATCACAAGTTGCAAACTGGGGTGAAGTAGATGTTCCTTGTTGAACAAACATTTTTAAAATGTTCCTTTTTTTTTTCCCTCCTCCTCGCCATATTTATTACATGTAGCTTTCCATGCTGAACATTTCTAGCAAAAGTAGGCAGATGTTTTTTGTTCCTTTGATACAGCATCTGATATCTGGTTTTCAGATGATTTGTCCCTCATGTTCACTGTTGCAAACACTAAAAGTTGTCTGTAGTGTAAAATATGATTCAGAACTTTTGCTTGGTAAAAGGCAGTTGCAAGATCAACAGGTTTTGTTTTCAAACAGCTGCTAATGGATAGTTGTTTATACATTTTCCGTACACTTTTCAGGTGCTTTGTACCTGCAAATACTCATCCAATACTTATAGTGAATGTTGCCAATGGATGCCTTGCATACACCTCATTTTTCGTCTCCACATATAAGTTGTACAAATTACATAGCAAAAAAAGGACAGTTTTGTTTAATAATTCTAAAGAAAATTGTTAAATATAATATACTCACTTCTATTCTTTATCAGCAGAATTTGAATAAGAGCTAGTTTCAAATATCACAGGTCAGAAAGTTACCTATTGTGTTTATTTCTTTAGTTTTATTCAACAAATAGGGCAATAATACTTATAACAATCTGTAGGCTTTTGATAAAAAATAGTTTACCAACTTCACATGAGAAAGCAGCAAAGTATATTTAGTCTTGTCATCCATAATGTTAGCAATTGCACACTGAATAAACTATTGTCATTACAACAGAAGAATGTATAAAAAAAAAACAAAAAACAATATTGCCATATATGCTGTTGCATTATGATCATTTTTATTATTTTGTTGGCTTAAAAATCCTTCCGCCATGAAGCCATTTGTGTAGACCTTACTTTTCTGAGGATTTTTTCCTTTTATTTCAGGCACAACAATTAATAGAAATTTGTCGAGAATATATTGTTGGTTTGAGTATGGAAATGACTCGTAAGGAGTTGCCAAAAGATACTTTTGAAGAGCAAAAGAGAAGTTGTGAGGTGAGTAAGCTGGTTTTTATTTTTATAAAATCATTTTACCAGGTATCTTATCAATATTGTATTGACTAAAATTTTAAATATTTATTTTAAAGGCTTATTTTCATCATGCAGTCTAACAAGATGAATATGTAAATCTGAACCAAAATAAGCAATGTACAAAGGTCTAAGCTCTTCTTTGCTGTTTCCTAACATATTCCTTTTGTACAACTAGTTAAGCACTTGATTTGTTTTTCAATATTCCTTTGAATTTACAAAACTTTCCAAGCTCTTTAAAGAAAAGGAACAAAAAAAAAAAAAATTTCCATTTTCTCACAAATTTTTTTTTTTTAAATCCACTTGCTATTGACTGTCTTTTCTTTTAGATGGCTGCCTACTTTTCCCACTGTAACCTCCAACCTGTTCACATGATACTCACTTTACGAACAGCACTTAATCTATTCTTTAAAATAAAAAATTACCGAATGGCTGCATCGTTTGCACGACGACTGCTGGAATTGGGACCAAAACCAGATGTAGCACAACAGGTCAGTAGATGAGAACACCTTTTGAATCGTGTTCTTTTTAATTTATTACCAAAATAGTATCTACTGATTACTGTACATTTAGAAATAATTCTTTTTTAATTGTTTAAAACATTTATAGTTAATCTAACCTAATTTTCCCAGTTTTGTAAATAAGATGTAAAAAGGTCTTGAACACAAGTTTTTAATTTTTTTTCTGAAAAAATTTTGAAATTGGAATGCAAACAAAAAAAAAAAATTTAGAACTAAGCCAAACATTTTTATTTCTTTTTCAGACAAGAAGGATATTGGCAGCCTGTGAAAAGAATCCAGTTGATCAACATGAAATTAAATATGATCAGCACAATCCATTTGATATTTGTGCTGCCACCTTTGTTCCAATTTACAGGTAACATTAACAATAGTACTTGTCTGTTGTATTGTGACAATAGAAATTCCAGCTTTTAAAAAAAAAAAACTTATTTCTATTGAAACATTCATAAAAACTACAAACTTTTCATTTGTAAAAATGATACTTAATGAAATTTTTTTCTTTTTGTATAAAAAGTTCAACCAAAACTGTTTATTTACTCTGAACCTTTATTCATGCTTAACAGACAGCAAATTTTGTTTTTTCTCTCCAGAGGAAAACCAGTTGTAAAATGCCCTCTCAGTGGAGCTTGTTATCTACCAGAATTTAAAGGAGAAGTTTGCAGAGTAACTAAAGTAAGCAGAGATTCCCCCCTCCCAAATCACCCCAAAATGTTAATTTAATATTGCCATAAATTAGATTTGGTAATTTCTACCAAATCAAGTTCTTTGAAATTCAATTCACTTTTGCTACAAACCTTACTTTCCTTGAAGTACAAATGCATTTAATTTAAAACTGATACCAAATTCAATAATTGCCTAAAAAGTGTAATTTGCCTATTATGAAAGGGTTTGATTCCCCCCTCCCCACACTTTTAAAAAAACAAAAAATTCCTTGTTTTAGCAGGAAACCTAAAGAAATCCAAATATTTGATTAACTTTGTATGTTCTCATTAAATTTAAACAAAAATGGCTTGTTTTTTCTCTTTGCAGGTTACTGAAATTGGCAAAGATTGTATTGGATTACGAATCAGCCCCATTCAATTCCGATAATGGAAATAATGTCAGTTACATTTTTTTTTAATTCTTCTCATTGAAAAGAATTTATCACTCAGTTGTAGTGGTGTTCTGGACTCTTTTACAAGAGGGATGATATCCACCTGCCCCTCTTTCTCTCAATATTACACACAATTTATATATTCTACATCATCTGGCCTAAATGTTTAATCAACTGTTATTTGAAAATATTTTGGTGCATTACTCTGGGAACATTAATTGTATAAAATAAAATCTTGTTTCCAATCATTAGCTTTTGTTATAGCTTTTCTTTTAAGTTTGGAATACTTACAACGATGTCTGTACTAACCAAATCCCTTAATGGCTTAACCAAATTATAGCCATTCTTTAATATTTTTTCATAAAATTCCCAAATATATTTGGACATCCTGTTAAATTTCAGAGCAAGACCAGCAGCACCAATTTCAAAATGTTAATGACTGAAAATGCATTTCTAGATAGATATTATGCCTCTTCTTTCCCCACCTGGAACTCAGCAGCCACATCTGAACCAAGAGTTAAAAAATAAATAAATAAAACTGTGGCAGAATTGGCTCCAGGTTTTTGTCTACATACATTTGGCCACATCAGATACCATATCTTGAGATTAAAGAAACACCTAATTTGATAACAACAAGAAAGAAAGAAATCCATCACCAAAAACATAACAGCTTCTCTGACAAAGCAATTAACTAGCAATATAATATTGAAAAGGATGAAGCAAAGTGTTTCAGAGAAGCCACCAAGCATAACATGTCCAGTACTGTAGAGATAAGCTCTGAACCAGTAACACATTTTAAAGAGTCCTTCAACACTCATGCCACATACCCAAACTCGGACAAAAAAATCAATTTGTTCCATATCAACACTGAGGTTTTAGCTTGCATCATCAAGGCAATGAAGAACAAATCTAACTTGGCTGGCATAACAGTGGAAAAGTCAATATCATTACTTGGATGTACTAGGTATATAATTCTGTCCTAGAATATTGAAAAAATGGTGATGTGGTCTGCATCCCTATAAAAAGAAACCTTCCAGTTGGTGATACTGTTCTTGAGAAAAAATTCCTCCACCATTGAGTAGATAATGAACAGACAGTATGAAAGACTTCTTGCTTCACAGAGTAATAGCAAAATTTTGCAAGATCCTGAAGTCCCCAAAGTGTTTCACAGAATTCTGATCTATAATAATTCAACATGAGCATAAGACAAATGTTGTCATTGACTGAATGAAGAAGCATGCAACTCAAGGAAAGAGAATCCAGTATACTGTTTTTTGATTTAGACTTTTCTGATATAGCTTATCTGGTAAATAACATGGTTTTTTGTGGATGCAATAACTATACAGTAAGCGCATTGGCTTTATATCGATGCTAGATAGACCAAAAGCACATTTAATAGGGAACATCATACACCAACCAGAAATTCATAAGATTGATATAACTCTTACCATATATGTTAGCAAAAAAAAATAAAAATTGCTTCTCCCAAGACACGAGATAAAATTGTAATAACACGGAAGGAGTTTAAAAAAAAAAAAAAACAAAGATTGTCCCATTCAAGTGATTTTATTAATGCTTCGTTTGTATCAGAAGGTACAATCAAACATTCTATGCTATTTATGGTCTTGAATAAATAAAATAGATTTTAGCATTTTTTTTTTTTTTTTAAGTTCATAAAAGAAAGAGAAACTCCTTTTCCTATATGGTGGCTTAAATTTGGTTGATCACATCAGCAAATGTGGTTTGAAGAAGAGAAAAAGGGTATTGTGCCTTGTTAATTAACTAACACTTAAAAAAACGTTCATACGAGGATAATTTGGAAGTAGTTTAAATTTTTAAATTTATCCATGAATATTGCACATTTTTTTTTCTTTGAGTTTGCATTTGCTGAAACTAAACTTATTCACAGTGGAAGTTATGAAAATGATGGTGTTGTATGCAAAGATGATTTTCAAAATTTAGCAAATTGTGGGCAGAAGAATTTGTCTATTAAATGGATTCAGATAAGTTTATTGAATGAATGTAAGTCAATTTTCCAAATGGAAAGAAAAATTAGGCAGAGGGATTGTCCCTACTCCCAACAATCAATCTAGATAGAAGAAACATCAATTTTTATTTCATGATTTAAACAAGTAGACAATAAATGCCCAATCAATTAGCCATCAGTGAGATTTGAACCAGAAATTTTTAGAAACAGTGAGCCAATGGCAAAAGTACAAAACTACTTTCATGGCTTTGGCATCACAGATTTTTATATAAACAATTGTAACTGTTCAGTTTCAAAAATATTGTCAACCATGTTATCAGAGGAAGAAAAGAAAAAGCATCCAAATGAGCCTTTTTGCTTATGTCTACTAAAATATAGTATCATCAAAATGGAAACTCCAAACTGGATGTATGTACGGAGGATAGACAAGGTGCATGAAAACTTATAACATTTATTTTCATAGTATATAAAGCCATCCAATCATTCTTAAATGTAAACAAATCATTCACACCCTTAAAAAAATTGTAGATGAGTAGTGTTATGATACAAATTTGAGATAGAAATGGAGAAAGAAGCCTGGCTATGGTAGTGTTGCAATACTTTTTCTCCTCAATAGGAAAAAAAACAATTAGCCCCAAACAATTAGGGTCATATATAAATTGCTTATTGTTCCTCTGAATGAATGAGGATAATATAGCTGCACATCAAATAAAATTAGAAAAAAAAAAAAAAGTTAACCAAACACCCAACAAGAAAATAGGGAATGACTGCTAGCAAAGACAAGAGGAAGATTAAAATGGGTTTGTTGTTAACTAAGTATTCATCCTCTTCTACACATTGTGTGTGTGTGTGTATATTCTGGGAAGGGGGGGACAAAAAATTATTTGTAGTATATGGTGGAATCAAACAAGAGGAGGAGAAAGCTGTGTCAGCAACCCATTTTTTATATATAATTTTTTTTAAACCATAGATGGGAAAATTAAGAGGAGTTATAGATAATTATCAATATAACCATCTTTTAGAAAATCCTTACTTTCCAACAGTTCATTGAGTTCTAAGTTGCGCCAATCATTTTTTATATCATCAAAGTGATTATCAAAGTCCATAAGTTTGCGATAAATGCTTGGTGAGTCTAGTAGTTTGCAAGTGGTCATGAGAGTTTCATCATCAACAGTCTGCCTTAAAAAAAACAAAAAAATAACAGATCAATCAGTACCAATCATATTTTATAATTAAGATTTACAACTATAATAAAAAACCCAAGTTTACTTGTTTATGAAAAATAAGGAAAGAGCATATTTATACCAATCTATCAAAAATGATTAGCTACCTCCACAAATTCACTAAAAAAAAAAACTTAATAAAAATAGTTTTACCATCAAAATCTTTGTTCTTATTAAGAGGAAAGACCAAAGGAGTTTTTGATTATTAAATTATATCTTTTGATCCTTTTTAGAACATTGAATTTTGGTAAAAAAAAAAAAATTGTTTTCCTTGCGGCAGTGGAAGGGGGACCATAAATTAGCATAGGAAATTTTAGCATCTTTTTGTGGTGAAAACATTAGATTCTTGCAAAAATCAAATAATTGTTGAATTTTAATGAATCTTTCAGGACTTATTCCCGAATAAATGAAATTACTTCAGAAATTTTTTTTTATACATGTTAAAAATTTCAGAAAAGTATATTTTACTTTTTAATAAAGAGAATTACATTGTGCTGACAGATGACTAAAATCAGTGATTTTTAAACATTAGGTATTGTGTTTCTTTCAAGCTACCTACATATATTTCCACTTTAAAAACATTTAGGCACTAGAGATGACTTATAAAATTTTTCTTTGAGGAGAAAATTAAATTAGTTGATTAAATGTCTAAATAAAATTACTAACTAATAACTAAAACTGATTTTAGCTTATCTCAGATTTTACATGAGGTGATAGTTTTTTGGGGTTTTTTTTTCCCCTTTAGAATTTGACAGTCTCATAATAATTAATTTCTTACTTTCAAAACAATTCAATTTGAACCTTTATAAACTTTAAAATATGATTAGCAATTAAAATGATCTATTGCTTCCTAAATTGTAATGAAGAATGAATACATCAAGTTGGAATAGAAAAGATTAGAGGCAAGTAAACCTGAAATAAGCCATCACTCATTCTGCTGATTCTGTATATATGGTCAGATTGGTAAAGAATTCAGTATTGGCTCTTTCAAGAGAACCAAACAAGTACTACTATTAATTATACTGATTGAATGTAGCAATTTACATAATCAGGATAAATGCTAGACCATCTTACTTAGATGACTAAAAAAATTGTTATATAATTTGGTTCAGAGGTTTTCACTCATTTACCACATTTAGCAGATATTGCATTTTTTTTTTTCTTTTGATTACTATTTATTCTGGTCTTTAAGGGAATCCTTAATGTAAAAAAAAAATCTACATCATTTCTTTGCTGAGAGAGGTTCATGACTGGTAAATACATTGTTCAATAGTTAATGAAAAAAAAAAAAAATTTCTACTTAATAAACATGGGTACTCAACATTTTTTTTTTTTTTTTATCTTCATCACATTAAATGCAAGACTATTTTAAACCAGACTTCTGCCTTCTTGTGACACTGAGACAGTGAAGTGATTAAAAATTAATTCTAAGCAGGAAAGGAAAAGAGTTGATCCAAAATGAAACATAGGCTGAGGGAGAGAGAGAGTGGAGACATCTTACTTGATGAGAATGGGACGTCTGGATTTATTATCTCCTAAAAGTTTACTTTTCTTATCTAGTGAGAGTCTGGCATGCAGCTGAAAATGGATTTGAAGAAACAGAGAACAAATCCTTTTTCTTAGGGATTGACATTATGAAGATCAATCTTGTCCTGCCAAGGTGATCTGGTTTGAGTTTTCAGAGACGGTGACCAGTCCAGGGATGGAAAACAGAGCCTCTTGTTGAGAATTTAGGTAAACAAATATATTTTCATTGCAAAAAAAAAAAAAAAAAAAAAATGGGGAAATAAGTTTATCTCTTCCTGAAAAAATTAGAAAAATACATTATTAACGGAAAGAGAAGCAGATGAGAATCCTATTTTTCGTTAATGAAAACAAGGAATGAACCCTTTTTCTTAGGGTTGAAGTTATGAAGATCAATCAATGTCAAGGTGTTCTGGTTTGTGTGAAAGGAGACGGAGAATTAAAATTAATGAAAATAAACCATGCCTTTTTTCCAACAAATTTTAAAAATTAGATTTGTCACAAAGATAGTTATGCACCCTAATAAGTGGGCAGAGTTTAATCCCACCTGTGCAGAGTAGAAGAGAGTTAAAGCAATCCATGTGACTACTTCCAGGGAATGTGGATAATTTTCCAAATTTGGAAAGCTGATTAAGAAATCAGAAATACGAAACAAAGAAATCCCTTATTTGAATTAATGAAAATTAAAGGATCACCTCCCCCCCATCCAACCTTTCGAGCCCCCACACCAGTTTGGGGCCAAAGTTCATATGAGCAGATGACTTTGGGGAGTTTGAAAGCTTTGGGCTGAGGAACTGTATCAAGTGCTTCTGTAATCCATGTTAGCATCAGACATGATGTAATTAAAGCAGTCCCAACCCAACTAGGTCGTCAGTGGCCATAGATCTGGCTAAAGACAGTGCTGAAAAAGTGGGGAAGTTTGGGTTTGGTATCAGGAATGTAGCAGCCAGAGTGAGGGAAGGAGGTTACCTGTCCTAGAGAAGGATTCATATGAAGTCCAGGTTTCTAATTTGAAACCTCCAGAAGAGGAGGATGAAATACCTCCGTCCCAACTCCAGAAACAGAGTGGTCCCTGAAGCATGTGCACAGACAGTACATGTATGCAGATAGGTGGGGGAGAAGGTTACCGAAAGGAAAGCCCCTTGAGCCAAGAGATATAAACTAAGGGATTCCCCAAGACGAATTATGCTCCAATGAATATGATAATGGCACAGACAAGAAATCCCAGTAGTAATTGCTAAAGGCAGTGAGGCAAAGGGGAGAGTCAGATAAACAAAGCTAGTACTACAAAGTATGATGAAATAATGATATTAAATATTTTAAGTCAGATGCTTTCTTTGTAATTGAAATTCAATTTATTTGAAAGATGATGGTTTAGCTGGAGTTAATCCAGATTAAAAAAAAGAGACTAATTCCATATATAAATAAAACCTTTTTTAGGCATTTTAAAAATAATTTACAATTTTTTTTTCTTTTTTGATTGAAGCCAGTATTGTATACGGGGAAAGAAGAAAGTGAGAAAAGAGAATTGCAATAAAGCTAAGACATTATTTAAGAAAGCTTTTGATTGTTGTATGAAATTTTTGGACAATATTGTCTTAAAAAAGAACTTTGTTTTTTGATGAATACAGAATTTTTTGGCAAGAATTGTTTTCAGCTTTTTGAAATTTAATTGAAATAATTTATAGGATCTTAAATCTTTTAAAATTCTGTGTTGATTTGTACTAGTTGGGTGGAAACTATATTTGCTAATCATAAATGAAGGACTTGGTGCAGTCCACCAAACACCAGTATTTAAAGTAAAAATAAAATCAAAAAGCTTAATAATTGGTCATTTGGGATTTTATAGAAATTTATGAGGGAGATAGACTATGTCTTTTTTGTTGATCAATTGTTGGATAAAACTGGACTTAATGTCACTGTGGTAAAATCAGTTTTGGTTTAATAATTGGATTAATAATAGTTGTGGACCACCAGTTGCTGGGTGAAGGCTGAGCATCAACAGGAAATTTTGGGCAATCAATTTGGTTGGTGCTCATAGGGTGTCGAGAGGGTGCAACAATGTTAGCCTGGAAAGTTGCTACAGTATGAGGTGTTATTTTTTGAGACACAAGAAAGGTGTAAAACAATCACCAGGAGATCTGTCCAGTGGGACGTGAACACATTGGTTTTGATAACAGATTTAAATTTTTTAAAAAACAAGAAGGGAAATATACTAAATAAACTGGAAAGTGAACTGCTTAAGTTAGATGTGGCCAGAGTGCGAGTAGCACAAAGTTATACATGAAAGGGTGGTGATCAGTGAATTACTTTTATTGTGTTTCACATGGAAAAGTAATAAGAAAGGGTATGGGATTGTAATACTGTAAATGTTAGAGATTATGGGGACAGAACCAGAAGTGGAAACCCTATTACAGAACAAACAGAGCCAGATTTGTAATCTGGGACCAGATGTCAGGAAGAGTTAAAAGAGCTTATGCTAACAATCTAAAAATTAGCTGAGGTAGATAGTTGAGAAGGAGCTGAACTAAAGAATAGGCGGGGAAGGATGAGAACAACAACTCTGATGGAAACAGATGTGTAATCTGAGGAAGAAAGAAGAAGGGTAATGACTCAACTGCTAGTTGATAGGAATGTGAGAAAATCAGAGTTTTTTTAACTCATGGCACGGGGGAGTGTATCGATACTAAATGTAACAAGATTAGTGAAGAACAAAAGGCAGTAGTCTATCGTTGGGAAGGCACTAAGTGTTCTGTTCTGAAAAGTGTCAATAAAGATAAAATCTCCATTGTCTTTGATAGAATTATCCCTGGGATGTTCAGCATTTGAGTATCTATCTCCCTCCCACCATATTATCAGTCTGAGGAAAATTACGAAGAAAAAGATTCATTTGTGAGATTGATCAAAACTGGTCTGAGTAACTGGACAGAATTATGGGAACATATGGTAGAGAAATTTCCTGAAGTTACATTAAAAGGAGATGCCAAAGTTATTAAAGCCAGTAGAGAAAATTAGTTTGAACAAATTTAAAAGACAAATTGAGTATTATGGAAGAAGAGTGTACAATTTGGAGAGATAATTCAAGCAATGAATTGGTCTGCCATGTTAGGCACTTTAGTAGCTATTACTATATTAGCAATATGGAGGCTGAAAAGGTACAAGAAGAAATTGATTAATCCACAGATGTTGGCAAGTATGCAAGAGAACAAGAGAGGGACACCATTTGGTGTTCTTTACCAAATCTGACTGAATTTGAAAGTTGTCAAAGGAAGATCAAAACCCACTATTGTGGAAACGAAAATTGACTAAGAAGGACAAACCAAGAAAAAGATAATTCAATCTTCTGTTACCATGAGATGAAACACAACATGGACAGAGACAGTGTGGATGGAAGCGGTCAACGGCCAACAACCATCCTGGACCAGCATCAGCACTGACTAGCGCAGAGTTGGCCTGTGGTTAAAGTGTCGTCCCAAGACCCTGGGGACTGGACCACTTGGTTATACCACCAAGTGTAGGCAGTGGTGAAAGGTGTTACATTTGGTGCCAGTGATCAAGGATGTGACCCTGATGTAAGGAGGGTGTTACATTCTACAGATTTCGCTTAGTCACTTAAAACTTTATCTAAACTAATCTTTTTCTTTTCAACTAATTTCCATGTTAAAAAAAATTACAATTTCATTTTTGTTACTAAGTCACAAGCATACATGCAATCCACATTTTTTTTTTAATCATTTTTGCATATTTTCTTATTCATAAATGTCAAAAGGCCGAGAATCAATTGATTATATTAAACAGATGTCAGAGGAATTAAAATGAAGTGAGAACCCAATAAAAGAAATTCACAAAATGCATAAGAGATTTGTAAAAATAATTCTTTAAGTTACAGTAAAGGGGTTGAATGAATTCAAACAAAAATTATTTACTTCAACTGTCTTATTTTTTAAAAAAATCTTTCAAGAATCAAGGCTTAAATTGGCTTGGATGGAGTCAAAATTTTATTCTTAGCCAATTAACAAAATAATTGCAGACTGTTTTAAATGAATTTCATCTAGTTACCAAATGACAATCTATTACCAAGATTGACACTACACCCTGTCTGAAGTTATTAAGTAAATCATAAACTTCAACAATTCAAATTTGGTTTTAAAAAAATATCAAATTTTAAACAATTTAGATGTCAAAACAAAGCCTGGATTAAAATATTAGGTAGCATCAATATGCTTTACTGAAGTTATTTGATGTATTCTAAAAAATTGCCATCTGAATTTATGAGGCAAAACCAAATAATCACATTTAATAAAAATATAAAATCATCAAAAATTGATCAACACAGAACAAATAATAAACACATATGATAAGCCTGAATCCTTTACATTTTAATATAGTGACCTTTCTTCTCAATAGCAGCCACTAATCTATCAATTAATTTTATTATTATTATTTTTTTTTTTTTTTTACTTCAGCAGGTTCAATTTCCAACATGTTAGTTTTAATTGCTTCCCATAGGTCTGCTTTGCTGTTATATTGTTTGCCATTTTTATATAATTTCATCTTCACAATTTACCAAAGATTTTTGATCAGATTCAGATCAGGACTTGATGATAGCCATTCCATTATCTTCTCTCCTATAAATCTTTTATGTTCAAAGAATTTATGAGTAAGCTTAGATACACGAGAAGGAGCATTGTTATGCATAAATACACATTTCGCTTTGAAACTGCATAACTAGGACTTGTACCATGCAAAGAAAGTCTTGTTCATAAAATCACAATAGTTAACACTGTTCAGTTTAACTGCTTCATCAACTTTGAATGGTCCAATAATGGTTTGGTTAACAATTCCAGCTCATGTCATAACACAACCATCACCTTGTTGCCTTATTTTACCTACACGCAAAAAATCCAAATATCCTATAAAATCCAACCTTCGGTCCATCCATCTGGTCCATAAAATGTCACTTGAGATTCATCCATGAAAATTACTTTAGAAAAGTCAATTTTCATGTATTTCTTGGCACAATTTTGATACTTTAAAATATTTGCTTTAGTGAGAGGAGGTTGCCTAGGAGATTTTTTTTTTACAGATCCCAATTCACAAAGTATTCTACACCTTTTGTCCCTCTTAACGCCCACAATTCCAGCCGCTTCAAAGATATGAGCACTTGCCAAAAATGGTTGTTTTGCTATAACTCACTTTACATTCATCTTGAGAAAGCAAGTTCTCAACTTTGTTACATCTTCAACAGCTTTATCGTTTGATGATCTCTGCAAAACTCTTTTGATACCTCTAATGTGGACATTCCCTCACTCACCTGTTATTTTCTGTTTTTCAGCAGTTGTTACATCCCTTCCTTTACCCATATTTTAACATGTATTATGGACAAAAAGAAAAAATAGTTTTTATTAGATTTCACAGGTCTTAAGCTAATAGTTTAATCTGCATACTAACTTCAATCATTTCATTTTTGTAAACTCCAAATATCTCAAAAACTAACCATTAAAAATGGCAGAAAATTTAGTTAAAGTTTAAATTTAACAAATATTGGTTCAGAACTTTTTGAGTTATTGAGGTTTATTTGATTTGCATAATAACTCCAGATAGGCTGTAGATGCAAATATACAATGAAAACTTACTTTTTGTCCGATTCTTTCCACATATTATCTTTGTATGTGTAGATTTTATAGGCTTCCGAGACACAGCATGGAGATACTTTAGTATTGTTCACCTGAAAAAGAAATTACCACAGTTTTGCTGTGTTGGCAATTAAATTTTACAGTTTATTATGTAAATGTACAGCAAGGTGTAAAATTAAACTATACATAAGCTTTAAAAGGAATATTTCTTATATACATACACCTCTCTTTATTTTAAAAAAAATTCTATTTAAATTTTGTTTGACAAATTCTAAGGATGAAATTTTTTAAAAATTGGCTTCTTGTTGCTGACATTTATTTAAAAGCTGATAAAAGTTGTAGATGGAATGAGAGTGCAAAGGGAAAGAAGTGGAAATCTTCACTATGCAAAGCACAAAGTCCACTTAAAAGAGAAAAAAAAAGTTTCATGTAGCAAAAATTCATTGTCTTGGAATTAGTTGGATTTCAAACTAAAAAGTAAATGTAACAAATTACAAATTGTTAATTCAAGAGTTTCTATTCAACAATACATGCTTAGAAATAAATTTTCTTCTGTCAGGTACTTTTTCTTGCTTTTCATAATGTTAAAAACATTTTGCATTGAACAAAATCTATTCTTTTAGATTTTAAATAAATTTTCCATACCATAAATATACAAGACTCTGGATAATATTCCTGAATCTTTTTGCCTATCAAATGGGCCACATTGTCAGGTCTGAAAATTAAAAAAAAATTGAAAAATTAATGGCTTCAAAAAAATGACTATTTTATTTCCTTTTTTGGTAAATATAAAATGAAAAATAAACCAGCTGAAAAGAAAAAAAACGAAATTAAGACAACATTATAGTAATTGAATTGCAAAATACAAAGATAAAAAATGGGTCTGAATTAAATGTAACAAAAATTTGGAGCTTTCTAATGTCATGTTTGGATGATTTTTTTTAGGATTAAATTAACATTCTGTTTTTAAATGTTATTTTATTTCATGGAAAAATGGTAATATTTAACAACAAAAAAAGTTAAAATATATATCTCCAAAAAGATTTTAACAGGAAAAAATTTTAACTTAAAACAAAGCTCTGAATGACTATTTAATTGCAAGGAAGACCAAAAGTTTTTATCATTAGGTAATTTTATTTTAATCAATTTCAGAAGGAAGAAAATATTTCTTTAATTATATAAAAAGAACTTTAGAATTATTATCTATTGTCCAGACTGGCAAGATTAAAACAAAAGAATATCTAAAAGCCACTAGACTTATGACCTGAAAAAGATAAAACATTTACTTACTTTGAATTGCAATAATTTTCATTTGCCTGGTAATATCCACCAATAACCAATCCTTTACTTTTGCAATAAACATCCACCTTAGAAAGAGAAATAAAAACATTCTGAATTCTTACATTTTATTCATATGCAAAAAAAAAATAATTACAGAATTCAACCTGAACATTCAATATGCAGTAATAAGTAGGATGGTATACTGAAGCATTGGTCAAGAATAGTATCCAAAGCAGTACACTGTAATAATTTGAAAGCTTGACAATCAATTTTCTTTGAAATTCATTCAATATTGGTTTTCAATCAAAAACAGCCTTTTTCTTGCAACACATAACTGATATGAATTTTAATCTTTCACCTTTGGTTAAAAGCATTTAAGTTTATAATATTTATAGAATTAACATTTTCATAGAATTACATCTGTAAAAAAGTAAATTATATGGATATATATATATATATATATATATAAATAGCTGGCCACTTATATTCGAGGATACCCATCTACTAGGGTGGATAGCCAATCCCTAGTGCAGAAGCTCGCTCAGGCACATTTGTTTTGCTCAAAACCCACAGAGCCCACCTGTGGTTTATACCAACTATGCTGAGCAGACTTAGTTACAGTTTCTGGGAGAGAGCATGTTATCTAGCGTGATCAAATATTTTAAGAAGGCCAGCATGGTCAAGCCATGATGACTTGTGGCTTTGTGTTAACGCAGCTGTCAACAGCCCTCAAGAGTTCTGTCTACCCAATTTCACTCACAAGGCTTGGGTCAACCCGTGGTATCATTTTCAGGCACTTTCCAAAGGTGCTGGACGCTGGGATTAACCTTGATCTATTCCAATAACATCAGGAAGCCTCCTTTCTGACAAATCAACCATGTCAAGATTCAAACCCAGGACTCATGGTCAGAAAGCAAACGTTCTAACCACTCAGACATGCGGCCATACACACACACAGAGTAGAAAGTCACTTATCCTAACAAGAAGGGCAGGTAGAATTTTGTTCAGATTATTATTTGCATAAGTGAGCCAACCATGACAAAAGGAAGCTATACTTAACATCTAACAAAGGATTAAAGAGTTTGTGTTCATTCAATTGATAACTAACAAAACATTGTTTAATTTATATATATACTAGCAGTAGAGCCCGGCGTTGCCTGGGGATGTAACAGTAAGAGATAGATCAAGTATCGACCATCATAAAGACTGAAAAATAAAATTGACAAAGATTATTGTTTAAGGTTGACGGACACGCATGTCTTAATTAGTTATTTTTTTTTTTTGTTTTTTTTTTTTTTTAATTGGTCAAACCCAAACTCAAACAAAAACATTGTTTTCAATCGTTATGAGTCTACTGATTGAATAGAATTTTATTATAAACAATTGTCTTGTAAATGGAATTTTAAAGCATTCTGAATGTAAAAAAAGTAAAAAGTGTGCAAGACAATAAGAAACACTACCTGCCAAAAAAAAAGTGAAGTTTTGTTGAAATTGGTTGAAAAATGTAGGAAACCGATCCCATATATAAATGAACACACACACACAACCTGGGTTTAAGTATAACTCGATATGAGTTGTCCCCCTTTCATTCCATGAAAGCGATGCCTCTTAATTGTGTTTTCAAATTGATTTCATGCAAAACCAATGGTGTCTTTCCAATTTTTGTCGCTGTCAGAACCACCACAAGGTAATTTTACGTAGTCCTGTGAAGTTTTGTTGAAATCGGTTGAAAAATGTAGGAAATTCGATCCAATATATAAACGTACAGACACACACACACACACACACAACCTGGGTTTTATAATAAGTATGATTTTACAAATAAAATCACTTTATTATTTAAACAATATGCAGCTGAAAATTCAGAAAAATTATTATTATGAAAAACATTTGTGTGTGCATGGAATTTATTAAAAGGTACTGAGATTATTAAGGTAATACCAATCATTGTTTTGTAAGGAAAATATCCAGTAGTGATGGGACGATACCAATATTTTTACCAATTCCAATACAATTCCTGATAAGGTTCTAAATTTTTTGATTCCAATATCTACAATGATTAAAATTCATTATTTTCAGGCCCTATAGCTAATTTAGGAAATTTAATGAACAAAGTACATTTATTAATAAAACATTTAGTAGAAAAATGAATACAAAATAAATATGAAATAAAGTTAGATATCTTTTTTATTTTTTTTTTTTTTAATTGGGTAAAAGGTTAAACAATAAAGAGAACAATTTCTTTAAGCAAATTACTTAAGTATCTAGCTACTCATATTTAACTTTTCAGCCAATTTCTTTTTGGTAAGTAAATGTTATCTCCAATACTAAATAACCGTTCACTTTTAACAGAAAAGAGAGGTAGTGATAGATACTTCCTGACTAAAAGTGCTATGATGAGAAATTCACTTTTATTTGAATTTCACCACTGAAAAACATGATCATCACTTTGTTTTTTAATGCAATATATTTTGTCATTTAAGTTTTAATAAATATATTTCTTTGCTTGTTTCACTGAATGCTTTATCCTGTGTTCTCATACACATTAGCTCCCCCCTTTTCCTTCATGACTTTTTCTTTAATTCAGTGAGGCAATTTGTAAAATTTGTCAGTTTTCTCTTCAGACATGTCAGATGAGTCATTCCTCATGCCTTGTGAAACTGGGTGAGGTGTCTGTTTTTTTTCACTCAAGATATCTATTCTATAGCCAAAGGAAAAATTCTTTGGCTATAGAATAGATATCTTGAGTGAAAAATTCTGCAACAGCCTTGTCATTAGGAGGCCATTGCAGTTATTTTCAAGAATACCAGTCTTGAACCTGGGATCAAGAGATGTTACTAAAATAAAGCTTTTGCCTTCTAAGTAGCTGCTAAATCTAGCATTACATACATTCATTTGAATGTGGAATTTCCACCAAAGGAAACAAACACCTACCACCACACTTTTTTCTACACAAGTAAAATAAATTTACATGATTCTTAGGTAAGTACTTCTACTAATTCAGTATACAAAAGATTTAAAATGAATTTTTAAAAATGAAAAAGCTTTCTTGAAGTTTTCATTTTAGCTTTAATTGAAAGCTAAAGGATTTAACATTTAGTATTTCCAGTAAGCAAAATACTCTGTGATGTATTTCAAACAGAAATTATATTGATTGGAATTGACTAATATCCAGCCAGTGTTACTTGAGGTTTATTTATTTTTTTTAGCAGTTATAGCATTTGACAAAGAGGCATCAACTTTGTTTTGTGCTTTCCACCATTCTATGAAAAGTCACAAATTGTTAATAGAGATCGCAAGAATATCAGTATCTGACTTTACTTATCCATATCTGTACCTTTCTTGTTCTTCACTGTTGGCAATCATCATTTATATCTGTTTCAATGTTATAGTCACAGATTACATAAGTGTAGATCTCAGTATTTATTTTACAAAATATTCCAGCTATCTTCAGTTCTCAGTAATTCTTGTGGCTACCCTTTTATCAGGATGATTGTGTCCTTCACTTTCACATCTACTATCATGCAAGCCATTATGCCAAAAATCTTATGTCTATGGTTTGATGTTGATCCCTAAAATCAATGATCATGAACAAAGCTATGAAGAACTTGGTAATTTACAACAATCCTTTATCTGAACTATTCAGTAACAATGCTGTACAACATAATACAGCAAAACTATTTCTTGATCATTGTAATGATTCCCTGATTGAGTGTCTGTTGTACTGAAGTGATGTTTGGTAGGAAAACAAATACTTGACAATTCTAATTGGTTGTCTTTCATAATATGTAACCCAATGCATTGTCAACAAACAATAGAGCATTGTACAAATTCATCCAGAAACTAGGATAAAAAAGTGGATGTGATTCATGCCTTGTTTTATAATTTGTACTCCATGGAAAATGAGTTCTTGTTACAGTTGTAGCAGTAATTTATAAGTTTTGATGGGATTGACACAAGGATAAAATCATAATGCAATCTTTTTTGCACTTTCTGCACCCAATGTTTGCTTTTCAATTGTTTTGTTTGGCAAAACACACCAAAACAATCCCATTTCATCAACATTGTACAATTGTTAAAGTTCATTTTTTTTCATCGATGATGGGTTAGGTTTCTGTCTGAAATCTTCTACAATGTTATCGTCTATGAACTTCTTTCCAAGAATGCAAAGTTGCATAATGCCATGATGATCTTTGAAACACTAACCAACATTGTTATGCTTCACTGGTGTTAATTTGTTTAGATAAAATGGTAAATTTTCCTTGCAACATTGAGCCAAAGACAGAAAACCAGAAACACACGGCTTGGTTGGATTGTTAGTCTTTTTTTTTTTTTTTTTTTTTTTACTGATTACATAGATTTTCTTTTAAATGCATCTTAAGCATCACTTTGACTAGTCTTGTTTTCTTGAAGTGGAACATCATTACTTTTCCAATATTGTTCTCTTTTTCCTCATGATCCCAACATTTGCTTTTCTGTCAACACTTTTCCCTTTCTTTTCATAGATACATGAATAGTAATACACTTCATCACTTTGAACAATTAAGTAGTCAAGACAAAATTGTAAAATGAATGAAGACATTGCAACAGAATCTGCCATGCAATTTCTTTTATTATTAATATTTTTTTTCTTTTTTTTTACACATGTTAGTTATTTCAACAATGGTTTAAAGTAGTTGAGTGTTATAAAGTTAACTTATCACTTTTTCTTCAGACATGGGAACAGCAATAAACTACTCAAAAAACTTGTAACAAAACATTTACTCGAGACAGTTTTAAAAGTAAATATTCACGAGACCTTGAAATTTTATTTGGATAATCAGTGTTCAGACAACAGACCTTCCACTGTGTGTGTATTTTTATGTTCTGTTATGGAACAGATGGAAAATGGAAGAACATTGATGTGTAAAGGAGACATGGTGTAATGAGAGAAATTTTGCTGTTCTCTTGGGAATGTGGTCATTGGCTCAGTGATCAACAGTAGGCTAGTGAGGGAAATGTTTTTCAAGAGTTTAGTTAAAGATTACAATATAATTAAGTGATCACTATCTAACGGTGCATTTCAATTTTTTTAACTCATGAGAAACTGGAATTGCTAAAAATTTTAATTGGATATGTTACTTTTACGTAAGCATAAATCAACACAATTTGCATTCTAAACGATAAATAAATCCAAATATGCCCTTGGCCGTTTTTCTTTGTCTACTGACAGGAAATAGAAATTAAAAAGTGGAATAAAGAATGCAACATTCAAATCAACAAGCATTAACTAAAAGAACTATAAAAATAATAAACACAGAAATGACAAATATATATATATTTTTAAAGAACAATTTCAAATAGAAATAATAATAATAATAAAAAAGGTTTCTTTTCATGCACAGTATACATTACAATATACATGAAGAACACCGTAGAACTGATCTGCCGAAATGTTGTTGGTACAATAATAATGTTCAATTGCTCTTAAAATCTCTTTTGCTTATATTTTGTGAAGTGATAGGATAAAAATAAAATAGAATTCGTGAATATTATGAAACTTAATTCAACAATTCTGGATTTCAAATTTAAAATAAAATGACAATCGTCACAATTTTTTTTATTTATACTTTATTGTCCGCGAGTAGTAAATCTCAATAATCAAGTATTAGTATCAACTGAGTTTACACATCAAATCTAGAATTAACTTACCAGAACCAGATGATGGGCATTGCCCTATCTTGGAAATCTCTCAAATTTAAGGGGGGGGGGCAACGTGTCACTATAACAATTAAAACCGTATAAAATCAATGGCTAAAAGAGGATTAACAAAAATGGGGTTAGGCTTCAGTTTAGGAATTACATGCGATTTACAAATACCAACCACACACACACCAGAAAAATATATGTATTGTAAATTATTCAAACATCTGATAGTAAAAATAAAAATGGCCACACAAACAAACTGTATTGTTTGTTAAGAAAGTAAATTTTGTCAATGGGATATTTTTTTAATAAAAAGAGGAGTACTTCATCAAGCAAGAATATTTTAAAACCAGAGCCTAAAGATCGGGGTCTAGGATGGTATCATTTTTTAAAGTTAATAATAATGAATAAAGTATACTAGTTAGTATTTCTATATTTCATTCAATGTTTATTTTTTTCAATAACGTCCTAGAGAGTACTTGAGTCTTGCTTGAGAATTAAAAACATTCGAATATTAATTACAAGTAGATTTTCAAAATTGTTTTTTATTGTAATGTACCGTACACGATAAAAAAATAGATTCAAATTTCAGATAAAAGACTTGGTATTAATTTTTTGAGATATATAGTATCTTAGTATTTGACAAAAATGGGCCTGCAATAAACCAATACTGCGTGAAATAAATCTAACCACTGGACAATAACCAAATTAATTAGGGAACAAAAAAAAATCGGATCTTGAAGCAAGAAAAGAGGGGGGGGGAAACAAAAAACTCAAAACGTAGAGACCATAAACCGTCAGAAAGCACTAGTATTTCATTATTGCCGCACAACCAGTCTCATAAATGAAATCTTTTCTTTTAGTTCTCCACTATGTGTGCGTGTATATATATATATATATATATTGTGTGTGAAGAAAATTGATATTGCTATCACATTGCTGGTTCTTGCTCAAGATGACTGACACAAACGAAAAAAACGTATCTAGGAATTTAGCAAAATTCTAAAAACAGGTACCAAAATTAATGAAATTGTACGGAAATAAACCATTTCACAAAAATTATAGTATTTTTATTTTTTCTTGATTTAATTTCGTTAAAAAGTTTTTTTTTTTGTTTGTTTTTTTTCATCTAAGGCGAAACAGAAAAAAATCTTCATAGAAAGCATGACAAAAAAAAATCATCTGAATTATTTAAGAAAATAGCAATATTCTTCTTTCACTTAATAGGAACTTTTATCAAAATTAAATTAAGATACAAACAGATTTTTTCGATTATGACATCAAGGAGAAGCCAAACAAATAAATGAAAAGAATGAGATAGTGCGGGAGGAAAAAAGCATCATTTCAGCGTTTTACTGACCAACGTAAGGGCCAACTCTGACATGGGCGTCAATCCTATACAAACATGAAAGAGTGGAATGCTGTCCACGAAATTTAACCGCTTGCTAGAATCCTTCTGCTTGGTATCTTCGGCTAAAAGAACTCCATTGACCGAACAATGAGGGTATTTGGCAGCGTGCGACAAAATTTTACAGTACGCACGTAAACTGACGTGATAGTCGGCCATACTGGACAATTAAGTGCGGACCTAAAAACAGGAAGTGAAAATCAGATTGGATCCCATCCCCGACATACACATTAAAAAGAGTTGATATTTTTGTCTTGATTCTTTATTTACATTTAGATTTCAAAATATAAATATCTAACAAAAGAGAGAATTTTTATGGTAAATATAGTGTTTTATTTTTTTATAAAAAATAACGATACATAATTTCAGTTTTAATAAATTCGAATGATAGCATAAAAATCATATTTCTAATTTAAGCACTTTATTAAAGGAAAAGAAATTGTATGTTTAATTACAATTCTTTTCCAGGCTTAAAATTGTCTTTTAAATTGTCTTGTACCAAAAAAAGCTACGCTATTGGTCTTCTGTTGCTCTAGGCAATTGATGCGCTAGCTTGCTTTTGATGTGTTTGAAAATTCATGTTAGTTTCAGATTTATCCTCTCTCCTAAATTAATAATTCCTAAAATTAAACCTTTTTTTTTAAAAAAAAAAAAAAAAAAACATTCAGTTTACATTATAGGAGGACGAAGTTGGCAGGCTAAAAATCGTATCTTCGTCCATGTCGACACGTGGACAATTTTAAGGAAAAAAACAGTGACACTACTTAAAAAAAGCTATGGCTCTAAAAAATTGCACTCAGATGTTACTTTAATTACAAAACAATTTGACAACCAAATATAAATCTATAATTTACATTCAAAGTTTTTTTTTTTTATGTAAATCCTTGATTTTATTTCAGTTGATAAAAATTAATTTTATTACAAACTAAGAAAGAAAAGATATAGCAGACGATTTTCAGATTTAAAAAGTGAGACATAAATGGATAAAAAAATTTTAAAAAATGGATAAAAAATAGAATTAATTATTTTATCGAATGTTTTTTAGAGTTAATGATTTGACGAAAGTACTTAAAAAATGATATAACATTTTTTTATTTGTAGTAATAGCTCCGCATTTACAGCAAAACGAATGGTGGACTAGCGTGTGACGATGTCTTATTGGACATTTTATAACCTGACATTTTAAAAAAAGATATAGTTATTGTTATTGAATTTCTAGATCTACAATAAATTACATGTATATTCTAAAAGAAAATAGCAAACAGTTCTTTAATCTATAAAAATAAATGTTTTTAAATTAAAATAAAAGTTGTTTTTTTTTCTTTTGTGAAATTAGTAATTGACTTCAACTAAGGTGTAATGTCAACGAAAAACAAATTGTCTGGCTACGGCTTGATTCTTGCTTCTTCCGCCGGACTTTTCGCTTCTTTGGCTTCTCTTTCTGTCAAACTCGCTGTCACAGATGAAACCGTAAAAGAAATTTGTCAAATACTCAATGCTTTATCCGATATTATAAACTGGCCGTTATTGTCTTCCACGTGTTCTGAGGTAAGTATCATATTTTTTTTTTTTTTTTAAATTAAAAAATTAAACGTCAACAATTTAAATTAGTTTTTTTTAAGAAAATAGGTAAAATCTGGAGTGGAGTATATTGCTGATTTTAACACCCGAAACAAGTTCTGCATATCATACACACTGAATTATTATCCCTCTTCTTACATTCATTATTTTCTTTACCTAGCCTCATATTCTTTGGGTTTGGAAAATCTGAAATAATACGAAAATAAAACAAAAACATCGTCTGGAATACTATTTAATTTCAACAACTGTTTTACTGAAAATAAAGAATGTAAAACGAAAAAGTAATTAAAAGATTGAACCCACCTTTAGATTTTAAAAATCATACATTAGAAACGTAATAGGTAAAGAAAAGATTTTTTTTTTTTTTGTTAAAGAAATATATTTTCTTGTGTATTTTTATATTTATCACAAATGAATATGATCATCATTTCTTTGGGAAATTAAAGTTTTATTAGTGGGGTTGATAATGTAAGCTTGTGGCAGAAGAAAAAGAGGATAAGCCAAAGACATCATTACACATAAAATTTGTATTTAACAAGATGTACAAACAAGGATGTGAAAGAAAAACATGCATTGAGTAAAAACAAAAGAGAGTTGTCTCTCTTTAACTATCAATTGTTCCAAAGTTCACTGAAAGAAATAAGGTTGTAATAGTTTCTGGAAATAAATGTTTTCAACAGTTTTGCTGTGTAAGGAAAAAGATTATATGAGTATAGGGAATATTCAGCATGTGAGTGGTGGTGTGAGTGAGAAGATTGGCACATGGTTTCAACTGTCGTGGATTCATGTGGTAGCTGAAATCTCATTACTTAACTAAGAATATTCTTTGCTTATATAGGTGATCATCGGCTCCGAAAGCACTGCGCAGGAAGAATCACTTCACGTGCAGACAATCTGATTGGTTGGCATTGACCAATTAGCAAGTGAGCAATTGGGAGACTCACGAAAAACTTCTGGGATCCAATTCTCCTAAAAGTGCACAAAATCGACTACATGAAAATATAGCGATTATAAAATTGTTGCATAGATGTGATTTATAAATTATCCATTACACAGTAGTGTTGATTTATTATCCAATGAATACTTGTTGTATAATTTCAATTTGAGTAAGTATGTATGCATGTATGTATATGTGTGATGATGATCATCATTACAAGTTTAACTGCTAAAGTGGACTTGTGGAGATGTGCTAATTAACTAAATTCATAAATGTTAGAAAAGTGAAGGTTTCATAGGTAAATTAGCTATTTCCGCAAACATTTTAAACTTCTTCATTCCACAATATTGATAAAACATAAATAGAACACAAACAACAGATCTCAGATAACAATAAGAATATTTTATAACATAAAATAAACAATAAATATATGTCGGTTACTGAATGAGAGATTTGCTTTTTAAACTCTTATAATGTTCATTGTCACATGAGGTTGAGTTCACTGAATTGAATGTTTTTTTTGTCTTATATAGTATGTGAAATTTCGATAGAATCTGTTATTAGATAAACTTGTTTAAATTGAATTTTAAACAGTTTGTAAAACAGTTTCTGAAATGGAATTCGTAAAGAGTTTACTAACAAAAGTTGTCTGCTTTTGACTATATGGTTGTGTGTATCAAAGAATGCATAAAAAATATCTTACAAGAATTCTGGAAGATAGTTCGTTCTTCAGTTGAGAATTAAATTTGATGAACAATAAATTGCAGTGCAGATTCAGTCGAAAATACTGTGATTGAGAAGTTTTCAGTAAGTAATAAATGAATCCAGAAAAATTTGGCGAGTGAGTAATTGAGTTGAATATTTTAAATTGAATTACAATGAAGTTGCTTTCATGTTGAAGAAATTGAAATTCTAACTTTGCACTTCAATGATACAAGCGTCGTGGACTAGTTTGGTAATTGCTCACTGATGAAGTTTGCTCATGCATTGAATTTATTTGTTTTCTAATTACATGATAGGCTCACAAGTGCATTTAGAAATTTTGGTGGTCAACTCACTTTAAACACTACTGTGTGGGCATTGTTGCCATTTTTCATATATATTGACCAATCAGTAATAGTATTTGCAAAAAACCAATTTGGATCCACTTCATGTTTAGGATGTACAAAATTTGTTATCACCAAGAGTAAATACACAGTAAATCTACTCAAATTTATTATCCAATGAAATTCACTAAATCAGAATAGTATGATAATTAGATACTGGAAGTTGTTGTATAGATGTTAAACTCTATAGACCCATACTTTTTGCCCCATGTTTTATAAAATAGCAAGTCTTTTTCAATATTCTATAACATCCATAATTTTTAAAGTCCAGCTTAAAAGATTTAAAATGATAAAGTTACATTTTTACATTTTATGAAGAATTCAATTTGTAGTGTTTTGAAAACCCTGTAGTGATTATCTCCATTTGATTGAGATGAAGCAACACCACGAAGATAGGTGGTGTTGGATGAAGTCATGACCGCTGAGTGACATCAGTTTATAGTGACAAACATGTTCAGTCATTAGTTGCCTAGAGTCAACCATAATTATTTGTTTTTTCAAGATGTGCCAGGCTAAAATGGCCTATCTGGGATAGCACACAAACCCATATTGCTCTTTTCCAGTTGGGAAATATATCTTCACCAAATACATAGAAGATAAATCTGGCCTGCTTAAATTCCCATTGGGAAATATAAATATGGTAGCACCACATGACTTTGCTGGTTTTTCCTTCTCCAAAAACATAGAAGAATCCTTTGGCAGCTTGAATTCCCATTGGAAATGATCACAAGTAAGACCCTATCTCTCTTTGCCAGTTTGCTACTGATTGTTGTTGTATACATATGTTATAGTTTCTCTGTGTGGAACAAATGTACATATTTGTATATAATTTTGTGTATGATTTAGCAGTATAAAAATCTTTTTGAGAACAAAGCATGTTTGTCATTCCTTTGCTTTCAGCTATTCTGTCCCATCTGTGTATTAAGGTGGTACTATATCATAGATATAATGCATATAATGAAGAAAATGTAAATAGGAAATATTCCTTTCTTGCATAGTACTTCCATAAATGCTAATCTAAGATTATTAATTTAATAAAATAAAAAAAAACATTTCTTTAAGCTTCTTTACTTTAAAATTAGTCATATATTTTCATGAAGGCAAACTTACAAAATCAAAATCCTACTTCTTAGTAGTATATAAGTACTATAATTGTAAATTGAACATTTGATGTCATAAAATCCAACACAAAATCAACTTAGTTTTGCATCAAATATACGTTGTAAATTGAATCCCCTGTTCACTTCCATTTCATCTTTAATTTTCTCTAAAGAGAACAAAGTTCTATAGAAAATACATCATCTTAATAGGACAAATTACTTCAGAAAATAATTTTCATAGAAAAAATAATTTAACATATATATTTCTAAAGATGCACTAAAAAATGAGCATAAATGGTTAAAAAAATTGCCAAATCTTTGTTGTTATTAAGAGGAAAGACCAAAGGATTTTTTTATTATTAAATTATATTTTTTAATCCTTTTTTAGAACCATCAAAATTTTGGTTATAAATTTTTGTTTTTTTGGGGTCAAAAGGGGATCATAATTTGGTGTAGGAAATTTGAGCATCTTTTGCACAGTGAAAAACACATTGATTTGGAAATTTGCAAAAATCAGATAATTGTCGGATTTTAATGATGCTTTCTAGACTTATTCATAAATGAATAAAATTATTTTAGAAACGTTTCTTTTTAGAAAATCTTGGTAAAAATGTTTGTTTTTGTTTTTTACATCTGTTGACACCTATGCCCCCCCACACACACACATTTAAATCTATTAAATTTTTATAGTACTTAATATTTATAAGGACAAAATCTAAAAATCTTTTAAATATTTATAGTGCTTAATATTTATATTAGTTATAAGGACAAGTCCTTTAAATCATCAAAACTTTTTTGTCAAACAGGGCCTCCAGTTACAGAAAATCTCTGAATTGTAAAATAAAAAATGCAATCAACTGCTGATATATTAATGATTATTGTGGAAACAGTCTATCAAGCTTTTGATAAGATTGGTGAGGCTCAAGCTCTTGCTTTGGACATCTCAAAAGTGTTTGACAAGGTTTAGCATACTGGTCTTCTTCTCAAGTTGAAAAGTTATGGTGTCTCCAGACGAATTTTTGAACTGATTCAGTCTTTCTTATCAAATTGCGAAATGAAACTTGTCGTGAATGGCCACTCTTCTAGATCCTTTTATACTAATGCAGGTGTTCCCCAGGGTTCTATCCTTGGTCTTTGTTCTTAATTTTCATCAATGACTTTCCTGATGGTATCAGCTCTTAACTTGGTATCTATGCTGATGATACTTTACTCCTGTCCCGATAGTAAGTTGGATCAGTTTGATAAGGTCATTGGCAGCTGATCTCAAAAATGATCTGTTGTTAACTGGAGCAAAGAATCACGTGTTAATTTTAAAACCTCCAAAACAAATCTGCTGAGAGACACCTTTATGCCTTCCATCAGCATGGCTGATGCTAATCTCTAGGAGAGTGACTCATTGTGCCTTCTTGTGCTAATATTCTTGGTTGATATCAAGTGGAAAAATTATATTGACTCAATTGCTAGGTCTACTGCTAAAAAAGTTGGTTCACTGTGTTGTGCTTGTCAATTTTTCTCTCCAGAATCATTCTTGCATATCTATAAGTCTACTGTTTGTCCATGCTTTAAATATTGCTACAACATATGGTCCAGTGCTCCTGCTATATATTTAGAGATTCTTGATAAAATCCAAAGAAGAATCAGCAATATTATTGGCCTTAATCTTACACCTCGACTTCAGTCACTGCTTCCTGTGCTTTCAAAACAAATTTTTTAATGAGTGAATTTATCAACAAAATCGATGTGTTTTTTTTAAGTGTTTGTTATTAAAAAAAAAAGGCCATTTTAATGAGTTGAAATAGCTAATGTTGACCTTAGAATATGCTCTAATACGCATTTCATATGACCTCAAAATTCCTGTGATTGGTCAAATTTCCAAATTTTTTTAGAGGCTTGCAATGCCTGAATCCCTAGCTGCATGGGCTCATTGAACTTGCCAGAATTTATTCATAGCCTAGATTTTGGCACTTAGATCCTTTAATCTTTCATTGGCTTAGGCTAGGGTAAATTGGAACCATAAAATGAGATCTGAATTCTTAATTCAGGCTGCACTCATTTTGATTGAGCATTTTTACACCAAAAATCTGATTTTCACCTCTTTATCCTAACAAGATCACTCTGAAGGCCACCTTCTTTCGTAGAGAATGAACTAATACTTTTTTCCATTCATTGATGTTGGTTGGCATGATTTTCATTCCTTAAGATTCTTTTTTTTTGTTTTTAGTAAGTTTTTGATTATATCTTAGTATTTAGTGTTAAAGATATATAGGTCGATATTGATTATTATTACACTTGTTAGTCTTTTGTCTGAAACACAACCTGCTTTACTCATCTGTCATGACAAAAAATTTTACTGACTTAAAGTAGATCAAAGTCATGCTAGAAAGTCTGAAAATATGCCCACTAGGTCTGTTTCCTCAGGAATCAAAACTTAACATCTGAAGTGACCCTTAGCACTAATGTTTTTTTGCAGAATAGTGCAAAAATTTTAAATTTAAGAAGTCTGAGTTGAGAGTTTAGGCTACTGGCTCCACAGCTCTGACTACACTGGTATCAAATCGAACATGTTAACTTTTGGTTGTAGGACCATTTTTAATGTCTTTCTATAGTAAGTAGGGACTGGCACGCACTAGCCAAAAAAGATCCCATCCTGTGTTAAAACAAAACTTTTATAAAAGTTAATTTTATTATCATAATCTTTGCCTCATTAGGAAGAAGAAAGATTAAAGAAGAATCTTATATATTTTTTAATTTTCTAGCATATATAATCAGAGAAATCAAAGGGCAGCATGGAACATAACAAGGCAATGTTGTGTTGGATAAAGTCAAATAAAAACTCTGTGGTAGATTTGTAGATATGTAAGATGGACTCTGACAAAAAATACCTTCTGGCATGACACAGTGAACCAACTTTCCTTGCAGTAGATGCAGCTATTGATTCAATGTAGTTGTTCCACTTCAAGTCCTGTTGAAAACTAGAGGCCAAGAAGGCATAGTGAGACGCTCTCACAGACGAACATCAACCATGCTGATGGGGGGAGAGAATACAAATTAAACCAGATATTGTATACACCTTTGTTTTTCCTCAATGTTTTGTGTTTCTATTTTATTTTATATTTCAAAACTGAATTTTTATGTGCATATTTAATAATTCGTAGTAGCAACAACTTCCTGCAAATGCTATTATCTTCTGCTTTGTCCATGTGTGCTTTATAAAAGTTAAACATTGGCTTCTCTCAGCTAATTTCACATAACTGTTAATTTTTAGCTTACCCACAAAGAAGCTACTATTACAACAAGTGTCCTGATCCTTCAACCATAGACATTTTTCAGTTGATGCTAATTTTTTAATATTATTTCTGTATAAGTTTCCAACTGTTTTATAGCTTCAACAACTAATGACAAAATTAATATTATAAAATATGTATTATTTATACAAATCAGGCAAATATCTTTAAAAATTATAAAAGAGCATTGTATAATTACTGCTATATAACCTTGAAGGTTGTGTAGTGCATTTCTTGAACTATGCAGATGCCATAATAAAAATAAATGTCAGTGAAGTTTAATAAAAACAAGTCACTTGCAATATATGGGTGATTGGTGATTTGGTATTTTCTGAATTAGGGATTTAAGAACAAGTCTTATTTTGATGTCTGTCCATCATTCAAAAGTCAGTGTATTTTGACTTTTGAATGATTGACTGATATCCAAATAAAAATCTATTGTTTTCTGAAAACTGTTACTTATCAAAGAGACAAAATAGTATAAAATGTACTGAATGGAGGACTGGAAATTAAGGGGTAATGCCACAGTATCAAATCAGGTGTATATCCAAATTGAGAATATCAAAGAATATAAATAATCTAGGGTTCCCAAATCCTCATTATTTTCAGTGTTCCCTCTTGTGAATGCATCTATATGAGTTACATTATAGCAATAATAGTATTTTAAATTACATTTAGTCACATAAAACAAAAGAACTGAATAGTGTTTGTTGAGTTTCTTAGACTAATTGGTATATTTTGTGGCAGACATCATCTCTATTTGACACTAAAATATACTGGTCCACTTGTGAAAAATAGGGAAAAGTTGTATTGGAAATAATTTTTGTAGATTAGCATTCATTAAACATTTCTCAACCCCTGATATTTGTCAAAAACAAAAAATATTGATTATTTTTATTAATTTAGATGAGGGTCCTGTTCATAATATCAATATAGTGTCAAATCGATCCCTGATTTTTACATTGTTTTCTGGAACTAGTTTTTTTATTTATAAATGTTGTGTCTTGAAAATGTGCTTATGTCATTGATATTAGCATATTTGTTTTTGTACCTTTGTTAATTTATGCCAATTTTTTCCTTTAAATAAAAATATATACATCCTTTTGCTTTCTAATTAAAAAGAATCTGTTTTATAAAAAATGTTAAAAAAAAAAAAAGAAAAGTTTCACCTGACAAACAAAAGCTTCTTTAAGATATGTATTTATTGATTTGTTCTTTAATAACAAAAATATTTTCTGTAAAAAATACAAAAAAAAATCTATTTTGCCAAACAATTCTTATTGTTCATTTAAGATATTTTCTTAAAATACAAAAATGTATATATCCATTTGTTTTTTATTTAAATGAAATCTTTTCATTAAAAAAATAATCCATTTTTGTATGCAGATATCAATGATAGAACCACAGTTTCAAATTTGACATTTGTAAAAAAACAGCTGATTTTCAATAACTCTGTAAAAGTCGGGGATCAATTTGATACTGTATCAATATTATGAACTCTTCTAAATTGATGAAATAATCAATACTTTTGATTTTGACAAATATTATGTTTTAAAGAAGGTTTAAAGAATGCTAATCTATAAAAATTATTTTCAAGTTTATTTAAGTAGTACTCTCTATTATATCCATAATTTATTCTTTGCTTTCTGTTATTTATTTATTTATATTATGAAATAAGACTAAAGACTAGGTCATGAATGATGTTAGTTTTATAAATATCCAATCTCTTGTTGCTATTAAAGTATGTTTTTACCATATTCTTGTGCTGTACATGTATTAAATATGTTGCAAACTATTCAATCTACATTATCATTCAATTATCAATATAGTTTTTCTCTCTTTCTCTCTCTTTGGCAGGTTCTCATCTGTGTATTAAGAGTTTGCTGTTTCTGCCTTATGTTTGCATTCAATACATTAATGTGGACAACATTTACAAAATCTCTTCACTATTTTACATCAACAGTTGAAGCCTCAGCCACAAATACTGCCTGTAATTTCACTTTCTCAGTAAGTTTGATCAAGATTTAAAATATGTTTCCAGACTATTATCAAAATTGATCAGTAAAAAAGAAAAATGTTAAATAAACATCAGAATAGCATTGTATCTTTTCTTTTTAAATTTATTTATCTTTTTAAAAAGTAAAAGGTTTCAGAGAAATTTTATAAATAGGATTAATCCTTGCAAAACAGTATACAAAAAATATGGGTAATTACTTTAAAATCAGGCAAATGTCTAGATTTCTTCCAAGAAATAATTCTCTAAAATAAGCTGATTCTACAAATTATAAGTTTGATAGAAAAAGTTTTCAACATTTGGCAAAATCTTTTACACAAATTCAAAGCATCATTATTCAGTCAACAAAAGTATTTTCATTGGCTTTTTTTTTATCTGAAAGTATGCCATATGTAGAAAAACTTCCCATTCCAACTATATGTTCATTTGTTGAATCACATTTGCAACATAAAACAGGTATTTATATGCAACAAAATTACTGATTGATTTCCTTCTAATTCAAAGTTTATTTTCAACTCCTGTTTTCCAGAAGATATTTTTGTCCTTTAACTCAAAATCTTGCTTTTTAAAGTTTATAAACCATTTCCAGAAAATGCATGTATCTACTACATCATTAACACAAGCTTCCACTGCATATTTACTAGATTAAGGACTTACAGTCTTATCACGTTGAAATACCGGTTTGCATATGATCACTGCAGTTAAACAACTTCAAACCTAGTCAATACCTAAATGGCTGACCACTTGGTAATACTAGGTGTTATAAGCTTAGATGTGCAGAAAGTTTAATGGATAACGGCCCAAAATAGGAAATTGGAGAAACAAGTTCCAATTCCAGTTGGGCTCATTATATTCACTTATGTGCAAATACCCTTGGGATAGGTATGAATCCTCATCTTCTCCCATCAGCTGTGGGTTAATTAGTAGGTCTTGTATCAATAAGGCATTATTATCCCCCCCACCTCAACAAATTCTTACAATCCAAAAATATTTTCTGGATTTAAATAACCTGCAAAAGGTTGATAAGCCATAAAAGACAAATCAATTTAGGTTAAGCATAGACAGTAAACAGTGTGAAATGTGCATTTTATAATCACCCATGATTTTTATCTTCAGCCATGATTTACCATTTTTCTGCAAACAGTTCCAGAAGAGTAAGCATACATGCAATAAAAAATGCAGTAAATGTCAATGACTCTAAGATTTCATTAACATTTTGCAAAACATGGCACTGAGAACTTTCACATCAACCTAATATATAATCTAATAAATATAAAGGACAAAAAATGTTATTTTATATCATTTTTATGAATGTTATCACCACATGGAACCAGCTTAATACAGGTAAATGTCCTGTAAGTTTACCATACAAAGAAAGGATGCTTTGACAAGTGATGACATCAGGGATTCTCAGAAGTTTACCTCTGTCAAAGATTATTATGCTACCCACAGACTTAGGAACACTTGCACACTATTCTCCAGCTACTCAGTGTTCTTGCATGTTAGTCTAAATTTTTCTCAATGTGCATTGTGAGCACCACACTTTCATTGACAGAAATGTTGGAATGCCTATAGTGACTTGTGCTTACATACCTGCAAGTAGGTCCAATTATTGAGACATTAGACACTTGTTGCTACTACTTCCCCAACATTTGCTCACAAATGTCTGCATTGACTGTAAATGTACTTGTTTAGCTCCCAATAGTCCATCATGGGACACATTTTCTTTTTGCTTTCCTGCATCATGGCTATAAGTAGTAACAAATACTTGGGTTGATCAACTCTTTCTTGAGGTGTGACAGAAACCAGCATTTTCCAACCATACTTGCAGTTTGTAATTATACTCTGCTCTGATCTGCATAGACACAAGATATCTTGATACTCTGTTCTGCAGTGTCACTGACTTTTAACCACTTCCATGATGCAATCCAGATCATCTTGTTTGAATCAAATTCTGTGCTGAAATTGGGCTCATTGATTTTAAGGGCCATGCATACAAGCTCATTTTCTTTGGGAAAATGTACCAACAGGTGACTATAACAAGTTTAACATTCCTGACACCAAGACACTTAAGTGTATTTCTGTTGATAGCATATCTACTTCCTTCTTTTTCCAAGTGACCAACTGATTTGCTCACAAGTGAGTGAGAACAACCAGTGTCTACTAAGGATATGCTCTTGAAGCCATTGGCACACACTTCAACTATAGGTAGTAATTCATTCATATCTTAAGGAGGAGATTGATATTGATGTCTTTTTCCCCATCTCATTTCTTTGGCACTCTGAAGAAATGTGTCCTACTTTTCTGCATCAAAAGCATTGTACACCTTTGCATGCTGCTCATGTGTTGCTACCACATTCTTACAACGTGATTGGGATCAAAACATCTGTAGAAGGGATGCTAGTGATTGTCTCAGCTCTAATGAGTGCTGGTTAAATGGCTTCCACAACTACTTCCCAGGTACCATTTTATCTTTCATTATAGTCCGGACTCTAGCTAGAGTGTTGGTTCATGCTTATGGAATCCATTTTGGCCAAGGTTTCTTGATTTGATTTGAATATTGCAGTCTTGTGATGAGTTCAAATGTCAATTAAGTATTCAATTCTTTAATTATTTACCTCAAAATGTAGAGAATTAAAAAAAAGTAATTTTATAATATGTATATTTGTAAATTTAATGCTGATTCTTTTACAAAGCTTCAATAATTACATTTATTTTGCTTGTTTATTTTTTAGGCTATTTTTGGCTGGTTATTCTTTAATGAAAATCTTCCATTACAATGGTGGATTGGTTGCCTGTGCATCGTGATTGGCCTTTATTTGATTCAGTCAGGAAACACAAAAACACACCCTTTGCAAGAAAACAAAGCAAAAATCAATTAAAGACATTTTCTGCAAACAGCTTTAAAAAGGTGAGCTTGTTTGAAAAATAAAATAAAACCAGCTTAGATTTGTTTCTGTAAAGAACAACATCTCAGCTTGAGGCCAGGGGATTACTAACTCTTCTGTTTCTCTCAAATGAGTTGTTGTAGGATTTTCTTTCACATAACAAGAACACACCAACTTTATGTAACTTTGCATTCCTACTTGAAGTAATAAACCATTATTGCAATTATGAGAAGACTTATACTTTTGAAATACATGTTCACATTTTTTTTTGTTTTTCCTTTTATGTTTAAAGTAACATTTATATTGAGCATTTTACCTAATATCTTTCTTGTATCAAAGTGAGAAAAAAATGATTCTCAAATTTTTGTTGATTTGTTCAATTAATGAGTGTTTTTCGAAAAAAATTTCTTATGAATTACAGAACTTTAGTTTCCTTTTAGTTTCTTGAAAAACAGTTAAAAAATGTATGAACTAGTAAATGTGGTAAAGTTAAAATATCACTGGCAATGCAGAGAAGGTTATTGGCATTTATACTGCAATCTGTTTTACTTATTGTAATTACATTTCAGCATTCAAATTAGAATATGTAAACCAAGTTGAAAATCTAGTTTTAGAAATTGATTTAACTTCCATATTTGTGCTCTTAAGAAAGGCTATGATCTGTTTTACTATCAGCCATCTTGGTACAGTTTTGTCTTTATCATACCATTATTGTTGACCAGAAAGGAGAGGAGTATATGAGTGAAAACCCACTCTTGTCTGCAACCCTTTCTAAACTTTATTCAGTAGTCACTTTTGACAGTCACTTAAAGGTGAACATACAAATATATTCAATCCTCTCACATACATGCACATTACAGAGTGAGGAAGCAAAACCTGCAAAATTGCCACAACTTTCAAAACTCACTTATTATGCGTAAATAAGTGTATTACTATAAATTAATAATACAATTTATAGAGAATATGAAAATGACTAATTTATTCAATATAGCTTCCATTATTTTCAAATCCATTCTCAACATTATCTCAAGAAGCTATGCAATTTTTAGCCACAAAGTCTTTAGACAACTTGGCCCACGCCTCCTTGATGGCAACCTTGAGAGTATTGATTTTGGGGTGAAAAGTATTTTTAGTGGTCTGCTTCAAAATTTACCACACAGGATAATCTAGTGGATTCAGGTTTGGTCTGGTCAGAAATCTGCTGATCAGAAACCAACAGAATTAGCATTGCAGAACTTCTGTACCTTCTTGGCTGGAGAGCACTGTCCTGGGTTCAAACATAGTTGCCTTAAGAGTAGTTGACAATGAGCGATGTCAAAATGTGCTACCTCAGGAACTTTCAGTAGGCATCAAAACTTAATTTTTCTCCAACCTTGAATGGGGGCATCTTTTTTTTCCTGTCTGAGTCTACAACACCCAAAACTATGACCTGCAGTGAATGTTTGGTCCTTTGATATCAACAGTTAACTTCACAAGATACCAGTTGTTTAGTAATTCAAAACAGTATCCACTGTAAAAAGATTTTTTTTCATTTTTAACCACTTAATAGGTGATTCTTGATGTATCTGAGTACTTTCTTGCACCTTTTTAATCTTCATTGACTCTCTGAAGAAGTGTCTTGGTGTCTTGTTATATGATTTAAGGCCCAAATTATCATACACTACTGTTCTGATGCTTTTGGCACCCACTTTTAGCTCAATAGCTATTTTTATACATGGATGTTGCTGGGTACTTTGCAATTTGGAATTTATTAGTGAAGTCCTGATTCTTCTTCTTCTTCTTGACTCAGTCACTGTCCAGCTTCCTCTGGATACTGTTGCTCATATCTATTGCCCTCTTGACATATTAAACAGTGTGCAAGGTTACACCAACTATGGTGGAGATATTTTTAGAGTTGATTTGTACATGAAGCAAACTTAATGCTCTTTGCTGTTTCTCCTTCTGTGAAACCATTTTTCACAATTTTGCTTTTCCTTTTGTTCCTCTGTTAACAAATGTTAAATGTGATGGCAACAAAGATTGAACTAGTGTTCAGCTGTTAAATTTGCAATAATGATTTATTTCAATGTAATTGTCTGGGCCAACATCTTGAATCCCAAACAATTCTACCAGACTATTTTAGTAATGTGGCATGGTTAGATGAGAAGGTAACTGGTGGTACTATCAATTGGCAATAATATTTATCTTTGAGAAAATTAAAATATCAGCAATCATACTGGCTTTTGGAAAACATTAGTGAATCTAATTTTCAACATTTTTTAGTTCAACAAGCAGGCTTTTTAATTCATTAACCTGTCAAATACATTTTTATTTCAACTATGCACTTTCCAGCTAAAGGGAAGATATATAAACAGTCTCACAACTTTACTCAAAGTCATTTATTTCTCTTAATTTCAAGGTTCTACCTATCATTCATTTTATCACCAAGCATTTCTCCAAAATAATGACGTCAGCGAATTTACTTAAGCAAGTGCATTAACAGTCCTGACATGAAGTTACATGTGATGGATGACATCTGTTACTCGGTTGTTCTTAACATTTTGTTTCTCAGCATCCCATTTCCGATATTAGTTTCCCCCTGTTAACAATGCACTGGTAAATGGAGCAGAGTTAATGCAATGTATTTGTGTTTTATTGCATTATAGTAGCATCAATCATCAGAAGTAAGCTGTGGTAGAAATAGCCAAGTGACAGTTACCATTATGGCAATTCTGTCTAAATTCGTATTATGAGGATATGTAGGATAGATAATGTTTGACCCCGGACTTGAAAAGGTTTAGATTGTAGTGGTTAGGGAAGCATCCTCTTGGAAGTCTTCCACAAAATAACAATTCTATAAAGCTATAATTTACTCATGATGGGAATGAGGATCATTTGCCACCATGAACAGGTGTGAAGGTCTCAGCTTGTGTGACTAAGGAATGTAACTTTTTGGAAAATTTGACATAGTAATAGCAATAGATTAGTGAGAGGCTAGTAATGTTTCATCTGTGGGAAAGGGGTTGCAGGTTGGAAAATAATTCATCACCCACAAGGAGGCATGATCGCATTTGAACTATATCATGGCTAGATGGTGAGGATGGGGCAGAATCTACTCATATATGGCAGCAATACTCCATTCTTGATCTGATCTAGCTCTTGTTAAGAAAAATATCTTTCATACACCCTAATATTTCCCAGCAGTATCCTAATTTCTAAGATATTTTAAGGTAAAATTGATAGAGATATTTTCTTCACATCCTGAGCAAAAGTTATTGGAATCAAGATGCTTAATATATGTTATGATCCTTGTATGTCAGACAAAAGACTTCCAAAGTGATGTTACCAGCTTGAATTAGCAAGGGTAGTCATATTAGAGATAGGCTATACGAAAACATACTTTCAAGGTATTGAGTAATTAGTAGATTTGTATTTAAAAATATTCTGTCTTTAGTATAAATTACATGAAACAAAGAAACACTGGCAAATACAATATCAGTTAATTTAAGTGGGAGGAGACTTAAAGGATTTAAAGCTGTAACTTTTATTTTCACTTTGCTTGGCTTTTTCATTGGTTTGAGTAGAAAAGAACAATTTCCACTCATTTTGCTGATGACACATCCTATTTTTTCTAATAATATTATTTTTTAGTTTCTTTCACTAGGAATCAAACTAATTTTCATTGATTAATTGAACTGCACTTGTTCTATAACAGTAAGAAGTGAAAAGAATTACTTTATTAAAAAGTGCTCAATATAAAAGAAGTTAATATATTTAAATTTAATATTTACACAAAAAGGATATAACATAGTAAAACAAAGGTTTTCAATGTAAAACACAAAGAACCATAATGTATTATAAAGTGTCAGATAATAAGGATAATGGTTAAGAAATATGAAACTGAGAATAAGCGCATTTGCAGAGTCATGAGTAAAAGCCCACTTGATAGTAATTGTTTGGCTGAGTATGTATTCTACAAGATCACAGTAACAAGTAATAATGTCACTAAATAATACATCAGAACTGTTGAGGGGAATGAAAGAAAGGGTTTATAACCATAAAATGGGCTTCAACAAATGCCACAACTCTTGGTTCATTATTGGAAGTTGAAAGAAAATGGCAAAACCAACTCAAAAGTCAAATGGGAAAGTAACTATGACCAAACTTTATAGTGATAAAGGTAACAGATATAACCTATGTCTATCAGAAATGCTAAAATATTATAGGGCATGGAGGATGAAAATATGCAAAATTGTAGGAATTCATGGCATAGGAGTAACTTCCTTGCAAATAACATAAGCCAGGGATGAGGGGGATGTTTATATGAAGTAGCAATCCCCACTGCCATCAAAGTGAACACTACTATTGATGGAATGAATGAGCCAAAATAGTTCAAGAAGAAAAATTTCCAGTGAGAAATAAAATGTAGTTATTTTCTCTCCCCACTCCTAATTGATACCAACTTCACTCTGACTTTGTTACAAAACACAGGGTGTTACAAAAAATAAAATCCATTGTTTTTAGAAATTGCTTTATTTTTTGAATACAAAACTGAGCAGTTATGGGAACTTGAGAAAAATAACCTGGGTAAAGAGAATGTGTTTCCTTAAAAAGAGAAAATAGTCTTGCTTACTGTAACATTCTTCACGGCCAAGCAGTAAAGCAAACCGGATTAAATGGTGGTTTCTTCTTCAAAATGCAGGTTAAATCAACACTGGAGAACATGTTCTTTATTAAGATTTCTTGAATGTGCAAGCTGATAGACATAATATACACTGTTTAATAAATAGAAATGGGGTGTCTATTTCAAAAATTTCCACTATAATAACATTTGAATTAATAAAAACACTTTGCATATAGTTCAGTCTTTTGCCACCTGAAGATTGCATTAAACTGACAGTTGTGGAAGGCTAAGAGTGTGGGAATGTTTATCATTAAATTTTAAAACTCTGTATTTTACGTTGAGCTCTGTTTGCTTTTTTGTGCAAATATTAAATATAATTATTTTCTTTTTA